TAATTATTATTATTATTGCACAGACATTTTAGAGAATTTACAAATGGAAGTGAATCTAGTTTCGTACACAGTTCACTCCTCAAAAGTCGAGTTGCTGAGAGGAAAAATTTAAGGAGTCAGAAGATGCGAAGGACAGGGCAGAGTTTTGCAGACATAAAGGTTGTCTCCACCGCTAAGAGACAGAGAGTGTGGGTGGTAATTGGGCTGTCATATTGAAAGGGCAAACAGCGTTGCCAAACTTCTTGAGTCAACTCCCAAAAAGTACTACAGTAACGACATTTTCTACTTTGAAACTTTTTTACTACCATGACTGCCAGAAAAACAGAACTATGAGTATTTTGTTTGTCTGTGTGTTTGTTTGTTTGTTCGTTTGTTTCTGGCAGATTCTGCTTCCTCTGGACACCAAATAGCCTATCGGCGGAAAAAAGTCACTATAAAGTAAAATATGGGAAAAAATGAGAAAACCAAAAGAAAAAAGGAGTTATTAAGACGAGAGGAAGTCTAATAAACAAATTTCAATGCTAAACAAATTTAGTGTTTAAAGTTGAAAATCTTAAAATGAATATAGTATGTTACCTAAATCGTCAGCCCATGCTATTTTTCAATAATTTCTTTCCTTTTCTTCTCGATCAGTCAATTTACATAACAGGTCGATCGCAACCAATTAAAGATTTGAATATTTTGCCTGAGATCTGAGGTATTACGAATATTAGCAGATTACTGCGCAATTAAAACACAATATATAAACCCTTCACGCACGTAGCTGTGCACCCAATCCGTTCAACACGTATAGGGTAAGTACACTTATCTTCCTACATACGGTATATCAGAATAATCAGTACACTATACGAGCATGTTCTTCTTGCATATTTAGAATTCAAAGTGGCTCTTCAAGTAGATAGTTGAGGTGAGAGTATGTTGAAAGTATCCTAGTCTGTTAACTAGAAAGTAACTAACTGTCACTGGAGAAGTGAGGCATTTTGACAAAATTTGTTGCTTTTAAAAGCGGGCTAACGCAATTTAATTTTGGGGGTTTCCAGAAATCTTGACCTACACCAAAAGTGGGCATTGCCCTACTTAAAGGAGAAGATTGGTTTTAGTGGTGTTGTATTTGTTTGGTTATAGAGAAAACTCTCCTTGTATTTAAAAAAAAACTGAACAAGGATTCGAAAACTATACCTTCGATTTTCTTAAAACAGCATTTTTCAGGATAGCCCCCTTATGCTTAAAAGCGACCAATTGTGAGTTACTTCTCGCAATCCACGAATGAAGATATTGTCCGAAAAAGAGACACATGAAATGTGTTGATTTTTTACTTATGCCATTTTCCCCTCAAGTCAAACATTTATTTTACCATTTCATATTATAATAAATTGCTCAAACCCAATCTACACAATTCTTGTATTTATCTGTATCCACACGGCTGAAATCCGAGTACCAACTCATTATGTCAGCACACCTCTGTTTTTTTCTGACTACATGTATTAAACGATTTTTTTAATAATTGAAGGATTCTGGGTTAATGAAGACATGTGACTGAGACATGGACATCTTCGTGTTCAAATTATCCTTCTAAACTCAGAAATGACCCCAAAAAATTTACATTCTGACAGCTAAGAAATTATAATATTAGAATCTAGTACTTTTGACTAGTAGTTTTCGTTCCTGTTACCTCTATGAAGCAATATTAGTCTTTTTGTTCCTGTTAGCGCTATATAAAGCAACAATATTGTTCCTCGCATTTCTGTTGCTCAATACACCAGTTTGCTTTTGTTTTGTTTGTTGGTTTTTTGTTGTTTTTTCTTTTTGTTTTTTTCTTGGGTTTTTTGTTGGGGTTTTTTGGTTTTTGTTGTTGTTGTTTTTGTTTGGTTGGTTTTATT